AATATCTGAAGGAAGGGTACCCCGAAGGTGGCACACTCCCTAAGAATTTCTGCTTGATCTTGCCTGCTAGGTCTGTGCTCTCTTCCCTCCCTTCTGGGCTCCTGGTCAACACAGGGGACAGGACTGGAAAAGCCCACCAGAGCCATAGGGTCTAACCCCTTGCTACTGCAGGCACCACGTCACCAAACCCTTTCTTTAACCAGTGTCTTTATTAAAAGCAGCTGCGTCTCCCTTAGCTTCTGCTTCGGCAGGATAAACAACTTTTTCAGCCCCCTCTCCTAAGTCAGGTCTCCATGCGCCGCCCCAGTGACCCCTCTCTGCATATCTCCCGCTCTGTGCGCATCTCCCTCCCAGGCAGGTGGCAAGTGTCCTACTCATCTGGCTTCCACCCCCGGTGTCACAGCCTGTCGGACGGGTCTGTGGCTGTTGGGGTCTCAGCCCCAGCTCTCCTGCCCCGACTGTGCTTGTGTGTGCCGGGGGGGGGTGCGGCCATGCTGCACCCCCCCTCGTGCACGGGGCATGCCCGATGCTCAGAGACCCCCACCGGGGTGTTTTATGATCCGTATGGGAAACTCCAGAGTCATAAGAAATCCTTAGAGCATGCAAGGCTCAGTTTTCTCCGGGACAGGGCAGAGAGGGTGGGGAAGGAGGTGCTGAATTACTACCAGTTGACTCTAGTGACGGAAAACATTTGACAGGGCATAAGGCCTATGGTATAATTCCTCCTCCACCTGAATATACTGTGCTTCCTAATGTCTCCTCTCCTCTGACCAGTGAAGGACTGAGAGGATAAAAATGAAATTAATTTCAGGAGAGACTGAAAGCAATGTGGTCAACTTCTGAGGCACTTTTTAAGAATCTTCCTTAAGATTAACTTAGCCTTAGAGCCATTTAATCTAACTTATACTTTTCATTTCTAAAATACTTTTCATTTCTTAAAGAATTTCCCTAGCATTTGTATTTCCAGAGAAAAGAACTGGAGATATATACAATGTAGTTCTCAAAGGTAGAAATCACAGGGCAAGTAAAAACAACAACACGGACCAAAATCTAGGAACCTTATTTTTAGCATAAAAGAGGGATAGTATTTTTAGACTCAACTGGTAAAAACTCAGCTGTTTAAATCTGCAACCATTGGGGTTTTAATGGGAATATGTCAAATAGATTTTCACTTTTTGATCAATGTTTCATTCAGTCTTATGAATGACTGTCATTGCTACAGAAGGACTTGTAGTGGAAAAATATCCAAATAATCAAAATGTAATCCAAACTGATTCCAAAGGAAAAAGAGCCCTGATTCTGGAGAACACTTGCACTTGCTTCCCCCCACCCCAGCCCTTACTCAGCCCTGTGCCTCTCCCCCTGCAGCCATTGCATGCCCGGGTTTCAGTCAAGGGTGGACAATAATAAAACCCTCAGCCTCTAAAGCACATCAATAAGCATGTTTTGGGTGTTAAGCTGAAGATTAGAAGAGAAGAAACAAAGGTGGGAACACGGTCAGGCCTCAAGTTCATTTTAATGAATGTCAGGAGACAGCAGAGGTTGGAGAGGGTGTACCCACCACAGTGTCCCTGCCAATGCTCTCTCCTATTCCCTGGCACCAGGCAGCACCCACAGCATCTCTTGTCTCTTGCTAGTGCTAATGGACCTAGCTGAAGAGCAAGGGCCTGGGGGTGATGTCGAGGTCATACAATTAATTTCTGTGCAAAAGAACCTGAAAACCTTCTTTGAGAGTCCATAAACCCTATTTTCATGCAAGCTAGAGTTTACGGAGGTAGCTCCTGAGCAGCAGGATGGCATTTAACCATCCCTGAGGACTACCCAGTGTCTAATACGAACTGAATTCACCCCTTGTAGAAACTTAGTATCTTGAAGCTTCTGTCTGTTTCTCCAATTTGGCTGAAATCAGCCAATGCCTTCCACAGTGTTGGGGGTGGGGGACAGACGGAGCGAGACAGCATGATCACATACGTCTTGCATTCCTCGGACGACAGCCAAGGGGGAGAGGCAGCTCAGAGAGCTGCTAGGGGTGTATAAACCAGATTAGATAACTGACTTCCTGCTGCTGAGAGAGGGAGAGGCAGCGCTGCTTTCAGCACTCCTGCCCCATTACAAATAGGTGATGTCATGACTTTAAAAAAATACATTATCTACTATCCTACTCTGCTTCCCCCAAAGATTGCTGAAATGGCTTGTTAAGAAAGAATTAAGATGTAATAGAGATGGAGATGAAAGGGGATGAGAAAAAGCAACAGGACAAACTCTTCCTTCAGTTTAAACCAACTACAGAGCATCCTGGAAAAACGGCAAAAATATCAGCATGGTCAGAAAAAATAAGGCAGTTGTTTTTTCCCAATGTGGTTTTTCAAGGGTATTTAACATTTGGATATTTCCTTTCACTGCTTTCTGCCATTCAATCTTTTTTTTTGTTATTTAGCTTTTTAGATCAAAAGTATTTTTTCCTATAAAATATAAAAAAAATTTCCTAAGGCAAAATGTATTTCTGGCTCAGTCAATAATGTGTGGTTATCTGAAGCAGGATCAAATGGAAGACTGGAAAACTAAATGAACTTAATGAACAGACCAAGTGGCTTAAGAGGTGCTTCAGACTCAAACCTTGATCTGATGCAGCGTTTATTCAGAACCGAACGGCCAGGGTAATGCCTGTGCACCATGGCACAGTATGTGTGCTGCTCACGAGACAGTTATAGTAGTGAACACTGGTGATCTGGGAACTCAAAGAGAAAGGTGTGGACCAGGCTGGTAAATCCAGTTATACCCTGTTTTTTTTGTTGTTGTTTTTTTGTTTTTTTGTTTGTTGTTTTTTTTTTTTTTTTTTTTTTGTTGTTGTTGTTTTGGTTTTGGTTTTTTTTTCCTTCCATAAGGAGACTGGAAGAACATTAATTTTTTAGGTCAAGAGGGTCTGATGTTCAGCCTCATGGGACCTGTTCCACAACAGTTTAGGTTCCTGGATTGTGCTTGAGGAAGAGGATGAAGAAGAAAGGAAGGCTCCAGATAATCAGGATAGGAGCAGTGAATGAAAATTAAATAGCAAGAAATACTAAGCAAGGATGAATAGGCAAAAAAGAAGAGGACAGAAAGTCAGAGTTTGAAAAAAGAAGTGCCCCTCTCTTGGCCTCAACGCTATGCAGAAGGGCCTGAGGTCAGGTCTGAGGATTGCCCGTAACAAAGCAACTTCTGTGTTTTTCTTGACAGACAGTGATCCAGCTGGGGAAAGTGATCATCCCTTCTGCTTTTGAGGTCTGAGGGAGTCAAGAGCACTACCCAGAGTCACACCAGACTTATGGTTTTTGCTTGGAGCAATTTGGTGCCTCAGCTCAAACATGGACATTCAGCCTATGCGAAGGGTTTCAAGAGACAGACTGGGAAAATCTCCCTGAAAGAATCCTTGGGGAAATGCGATAAGCTACCTAGTGATGATGACACGGGTCACTACTGGGTTTAACCCATCAGGAATCAAGAGCCCACTTCTGCCCTTCTCCACTCACCAACCATTTGAAAGTAGTTCCTTTATAAGGACCTCAAGTGCTGTAACATCTGAGGAGAAGGATTATGAAGGGAAAGGCAGAGGCTGGAGCTTTAGGAAAGAATTAACAGGTCATTTTGAAGAGTACCAGGTCTAGCTTTGAAACTGACCCTGCTTTGAGTGGTGGAGCGGGTTGTATCAGAGGTTTGAAGGGCAAATCTGAATTATTATTTGATTCCATGCTTCTATGTGAGAAATGTGATTTTTAATATTTTTTTTTTTCCCTATTCTCTTTTAGGACATTTACTGATACCGCCAGCAAAATAAAGACTGACAAAGAAGTGCAAGTGAGAATTGTTCTTGCTAATTCCACCCAGTACTGACAAGTGCGATACTAACAAAAAGAGGCAAATGAAGTATTCATAGTATCATAGTTACAAAAAAATGACTTGCTAACTTTTTCTGTCCCAGACACAGCCTTTGATTAGAACATGTGTGTTCATGTATAGTCCTAGGCAACTAGACAGCACCCCTTTGAAAAGAGAAGGAAACATTTAGCAAGACAAATGGGTCCTGAAAAAGTCTTCAAAACCACGGCATAAATAATTTTATACACACACACACACGATGCAGAATCAACATCTTTATAAACACATAAATATCAGGTAATTCAAACAACATTCCCCAGCTTTCTTTATCCATCCAAGCAGATTTATAGCCCCAATGAGTAAAAAACAAGCATATGATTCCTGCAGGATCTCCAGCTCATCTCTACATCTCTCTCTTCTTATGCTTGCTTCCAGGTTAGGTGCCTACAGATGATTATTAATAATCATTTCTACTTTGACAACAGCATGCAAAGTCTCAGTCAATACTGGGACTTCATTTTGACAGGCATTGCACCAACACAGAGAGGAGGGGACAGACCCCAACATGAAGTGTTTTCAACTGAAATGAATGGCTGGTGCCAAGGCTAACAGACGCACAGAGAATTTGTCCAATGCCCTGCAGAGCACATCAGAAAACAGGTCACGAATCTCCTTACTGTTCCTATGGACTTTCAGCACATAAAACGCTTTTGCCATGTGTAGTTATTCTGCATACTTTAACCAAAGGTTTTAGGCTTAAATCAGGGTAAGTCAGAAGACTTGTATGGCTCACATGTGGAACATAACATCATCAACATGTACTGTGGCATACTGGCTTTGCACCTTTTCAGGCATATATACAGAGCTGTGAGGTAGTCATCCAATGGAAGAAATTATAATCCCATCACCAGAACAGAAAGTTTCGGTTTAACGTGAAATAATGACTGATTCTGCAGAGGTAGGGAGGACAAAGAGATGGCACACTACGATGTTTTCATTTATAGCTTACACATTTCCATAAAATGTACATGTCTTAAAACTCCACATTAGTTCCTTTCTTCAAGAAATATCCACAGATTATCTGTCATTAAGACCTCAGCCCTGTCCACACACATTTCTTAGAGCTGAATTCAGTTGTTACTGACCTGTTCCACTCGGATATCAAATTCTCCATTCACCTTCTTCCCCTGGAAATATTTGGCCCTGCAGAAGAAACCAGAGAGGCAAACATGGTTAAAGAAGATTTTGGCTTTCATTAGATACTGTTTTTCTTCTGCATATCCCTTTCTGCTGAAGAATTTCTATCCGGGTCACAGAGTGTTTTCCTAATTCCTATCTTTTTCCAGCTTTCTGTTCTCTGGGAGAAACCTGCCAAGCCAGATGAAAACCACATTGAAAAGTTCTTTCAAGGCTTGTGACTTTTTCATTTTATTTTCAAACTGAAAACCAAATGCTCTCCTAATCTTTTCCAGAGCAACAACTCTAATCAATTACTCCTTGCTATATCTCATTTAATACTCAATCTTTATTCCGTAAAAGCAGAGCAACATATGGCATGGCATCAGAACTTTCTGTTGCTGAGCAAGAATCTTTATCATCACAGCTGAAGTACTTGTGAAGCTTAATCTCTTGCTCTCTTGCTGCAGAGCTGCTTTTCGATTCTGTTTGTCTTTCTGCTACTGATTTAGAGAAACAGTATCTGCATCTACAGTGTCACTAATGAAGGATCTCTTCTCCTGAACTGAGAAACTGTGTTTGCTTTTGGGCTGAGCAGTGTCATCAGAAGAACTTACACCTTCCACCAGCCCTGCTCCCAGCTGCCTATGCTATGCAGACAACAAAGTACTTCCAGAAGGGTTGGGTGTTCATGAAAGGGGAAGGCTGACAGTAGTGTTGGAGAAGAAAACATAGGAAAAGGGCAGGCAGTTTTAGCTTATCTGTTCGTATGTGTGTATAATGCCCCTTATATTGATTAGTCAGCAGGGGATTTGCCCTGTGAATTTCTCCCTAATTTTTCCCCTCCCCAAACAAGCTTGAGAGAAGAAAATATGAATTTATTTTCTCAGACCTCCCCCTAAAACTTCAGGAAGACCATGTAGGGTCCAAAAAAGCTCTTCTATTTGGAAAGCATTGAAAACACAGTTAAGCCCTGCAAGAGCTGTTTCCAGAGACAAAGTAACTCTCTGCGTTCTGTTTCCAACTGGCAAAGAAAGGACAGAATAAAGAAGTAAAGGAAAGTGAGGGGAAGCCGGCTTTGCTCCCTATTTTATAGTATTAGCAAAAAAAGAAGCTGGCTCACATTTTTACTATGTGTCTATTTGTTCCAATAAAAAAAGGAGAGACAGTAGGAAGGCAGTTTTCCCTGTGGCTGAAACACACCAGTTTTCAGCTGAATTCTCCCTTCCCCCAGAAATGTGAAATATAAATAAAAAAGTTGTTTTGTTTTGTCATTCTGGCTCAAAACCAAGTCAAAAGTTTTCATTTTATTAGAAAAAGACACTAAAAATATTAAAAGTTTTCTGCTTTGTTCTAATGAGGGTATCTGAAAGCTGGCCCACGCTTCCCTTCCCAGACAGCCCATCCATCAGCGTGGTGCTAGTAAGACCTCTGCATAGATGTCAGTGAGGGACACTGTAGCAGCCAGATGTGACCAAGATCAAGCGGCCTGAACAACCCCTGTCCAGTATAAAAAGCAGAGCTCTGGCCATTTTTCTTCCCATTTTTGAATTTATAAGTGTTGCATTAAAAAAAAAAAAAAAAGCAATTCAGCAGACAAGCTGAGACATCATGCCTCTAACAATAAACAGGAACGCTAAATGCACTTAATAATTCCATCATATTTCTGGAGGCACGGCTCTAGAGGGTCTGGCAACATTCCTCACTCCTAAACATTGGGGATATTGCTGGAACCAGTGACTTCTCAAAAACTGGAACAAGCTTTAAGTGGGCCCACAGGAACTGGTCTGAAATTTGAGGCACACTATTCACTGGTACAAGCTTGTTTTTATTCCCAGCATGCTCATAATGTATACTCCTTACCCACATTTATGAAACACACTTCCTCCCTCTATGGCCTCTCCTCTTTGCCGACCAGCTGGTTGCTAACTCCTTGGTGCTGCTTTGCTTCGGTGTGTAATGAAGTGTGATTAACTTCAGCCCAGTACAGATGGAGCAAAGAGGCTTCCACTGCCTAGTCCAGGAAATTAGCCTTCACACTGTTAAAAATTCCTCTCTCCCATCTCTACAGTGCTGGCTCTGGTCATGGATAGTCACACAGAGGGCACGTCCAGTGTGAGGAGTCAGAGCGGAGCAAGAAACCTCAACTTAGACACCGTGTGACCTCTCCTTCTTATACCTCTTTCCACATGGGTTGTCTCATCCCATGTCTCAGATAACTCTCTTTTAACAGCACAATATATCACTTTCTTTCAAAGACAGGCCCCCAGGAGGGTTAATCTGCTCTGAATGTCTCTGAAGACTACAGGTGCTAAGCAATTTGCAGCCAAATATTTTGGTCAGCCCATCATTTTGACACAGCCCAGGGTAAGAATGAAACACTTCTTACTGAAACATCTCTGAAATGGATGAAGTGATGTTTTCAATTTGCACCCGGGGTTTTGGAGACCCCTGGGCAGTAGAGGCTATCATGTTGAAATGAAAAATGGCTTTAGCCTCACCTGAAATTTCAAGCAAGCTGGAATCATTGCTGATGCCACAGAAACATCATGATACCTCCATTGCAAGAGGGAGAGTCTTTTGGTCAGTACTGCACAATGTATGAAATGGTTTCTGGTCCCTACAGTGGACATGAGATGGAAGAAAGGAAGACCATGCTGTTCTGGCGGGGATGCAGGAGAAAGTTAGTTGGATGTTTCTGGCAGGTGAGACTGTGCAAGACATTTGTGGATGCTCTCTGCCCCAAAACCACCTGAGCAAGGCTCTTCCAGACCTCTGCCTAGGAAGTGACATGCTGCAGGTTTATCTAGGCAACTTGTAGGACAGCAGGGGAGTGGTACCCAGAAGACCAGTTAAAAGCCTTTCTGGGGAGCCTCAGAGGTACCCTCGTTCACCTCCAGCACAGCCAACTGGCCGTGATCAGAGGAGTGGCTCATCGCCCTGGGAAGGGGCTGTCTGGCACCCCCCAGCTCAGGAAACTGGGCAAGGCACTGGTCACACAAACCCACCCCCTCTCCTGGGCAGTTTGCAGCACTGACCACCACTTGGCTGGCCATCCCTTTATTTTAAAGCATGTCAGATGTTTAACCCGCCAGAACGCAGAGTTGTAATTTGTCTAGGCAGGGTGCAGATGGGGTGGTGCGGTTGCTGTGATCTCAGTAAATTAACATGTAAACATGTTTTGACTGAAGAAAACTGCAGGGCCATGCTCAAGAGCAGTTCCTGGGTGGGATTTACAGTGCTAGGCAATGCATTTAAATGTGGCCGCACTGGCTGGGATGGAAGAAACACCATAATAAACAGCCAAAGGTCTGCCCTGGCTTCCAGGGAGCAAGCTTGCCTTGAACCTCTCTTTGTGATGTAGAAGCCACATGCTCTGGAGAAGGACATACTTTCTGGGTGCAAGGGCATCAGACAAACATAACTTCTGCTTTCTGCCTCAGCCCTGACATGATTACAGGGCCACAAGAAACCTGATGCCTCTTCCCATGAAGTAATTTGGAAAAAATAAAAGCTTACTTTCCAGAGCTGCCATGAAAAAAGCCCGGTCTGCCTCAGTGACCGTGACTGGAGGAAGTATATACACAATTTTCTGTCAGATATGGAGTGTATCCTTAATAGCAGCAGGGAAATATAAATTATCAATTCACCTCCAATTACCAACATAAGAGCTAATTCGCAGAAAGTCCATGTATAACATTAGTACCCTTAGGTGTCTGCAAAGCATCTGTCTGAGAAAGAGATGACAGCACTGATCCAAGACTGCAAACATACCTGTAAGACAAATACCAGAGTTTATCCCTCTGGTGTCACCAACAGCTAGGTCAGTTTGTACTGCACCTATGTGCGAGCTGCCTGAACCGGTGTGCTTCCCTGCACCTTCGTACTAATGCCTGTAGTCTGCAAACACAGGGATCCGGTCTTCATGGGGGTGCGAGGTTCCCCGTCAAAGCCTCATGTGTCACCGGGCCCAGGGGAGATAGAGCTGGGCCAGTGGGCTACAGGTACAGGAGCTGTGGCCAGTCTGCACTGCTACGCTGCTCCTGCGTCACGGGGAAACACGGCACAAGAGAAGTAACTCCCACACGTGGAGTAGGGGCTTCCAGGATCAGCAGCAAAGGGCCGAAACTCACAAGCTGCTTCTGTTAGTACAGCATAGACCATCACACAATTTCTCTCAGTACAATAAAAACTGGTTACATCTGCCTTGTTCTCCTTCTGCTTTAAAACAAAAGTAGGTGCAATGAGTGCACAACCCATCAGCCAATACACATGCTCAGCACAGGAATCCAGGAGAAACCATTTGTGCAGAGTTTGTACTATCTCTCCTGGAGTTATTTCTTCTCTCTTCCTTTTGCTTTTTTTCTCTCAGTGCAAAGAAACATATCCAAGCTGCTTCAGAGGACTGCTTTGGTGTTTTCGCCTGGATCTGTAGGAAACAGAGACATTGGGGATGTAGCATGGGACTGCACAACCTCTGCCAGGCTGGAAAATGCTCTGCACAGGTGAGGAATAGGAAAAGATGCCTATCTGTCAGGCATCAGAGAAAGTGCCTAAGGAGCTCTTCCCCAGGTACAGTGCCACTGGACAGCAGCCCATATAAGAAAAGGTGCAGAAATCAGCATCGGGAAGGGAGTAGCTAGGAGGGACAAGAGATCTGAAGCGATCGGGGTGCCTGGAGGAGTGCAGTGATTCGAAGCTTAAAGCTGTTCCTCCAAGTCCATTAACTGAGTGAAGCAGAGTTGTGGTACATTATGCAGCTTTGAAGACTGGCTGGTATTTTGTATTAAGTTCATGGGACTTCAACATATTCTGTAAGATGGATCCTGTATGAAGCAATTTTCTAGGATAGGAAGAGATCAAAGAAATATAGCTCAACTCTTCCTGTGAGAGACCTCAGTGGAGCTGACATAGCAAATATCATTGCAATTGCTGGTAGTATGTCCTGGAGTAACTGGGAAGCCATCCTTCAGACAAACAAATAAGCCTGAGCCCAAATCCCCTGTGATGTGAATGAACCCAGGCAC